GGCTGTACTTTCAGAGGTCCTGAATTAAAGTCCCAGCAGCCACATGGTGGCTCACAACCATCCATAATGGGATCTCTTCTGGCATAAAGATATGCATGCAGATAGAACATTCATATACATAAAATAAATAAATAATTTTTTTAAAGTGTATGCCACCATCACCTGGCCAGCCTTCTTTGTTTGCTCTGGATTATTATTTTTATATATGTATATGTCTATATGTGTTTATGTACAAATATATAAATACAACCTGATGAGTCTGCTTTTGTTTGTGTGTACATGGCTTCAAGGCTGACCACTGTACATTGGACAACCAGATAAGGGGCTTATCCCTGGGAGAGGCTAATTCTCCTTCTCCCCACATTTATTAGTTGCCTGTAGTTCTTTGTCTAGAGTGGTACTCTATGAAATTTTCCTTCTTCCACATTAATATGTCTATTGATACTGTCATTATTGCAATTTTGTTTATGCAGCCATTTGTAGGAGAGACTGTTTCACCACAGACTTCTTGGTATTTTGGCTCTTACAGTTTTTCTATTAGCTCTTCTGAGATGTTCTCTGAGCCACAGATGCAGGAGCTGTGCTATAGATATATCTGTTGAGACTGGGCTCCCATTGATGTCTGGCAGGAAGCACACAGGCATGATACTCAAGTAGTGGCTGAGAGCTTTGCATCCTGATGCATGGCAGCAGGAAGACGGAGAGAGACACTGGGTCTGGTGTGGGATTTTGAGACCTCCAGTGACACACCTCCCCCAACAAGGCCACACCTCCCAGTCTTTTCCAAGCAGTTTAGCAACTGGAAACCACACATTCTAATTCTTGAGTCTATTGGAGCAATTCACATTCAAACCACCACATACATAGTGCATTCTGCTTACTGTCACCTTTTCTGAACCCCTCCCTACCCTCTTTACCCAACTCCACAATCCCTTTTCTACCTACATTGATGTCTTAATCAGTGACCATCAATTTGGAAATAAGCATTGGAGCCTAGTGGGCTCCTCAGTGAAGTATCTATGTCCTTAAATTCTGACAATATTCCTTATTTTTGAAAACAAGGTAAAAAAAATGAAGTCAGTATGAATAGAGTAAGAGGAGAAAAGAAGCCGAACCTGTGTCCTCTAGATTTGTTTTTCCTTTTAGCTGTTGTGTTGTCTATGCTGAATTCCTTGCATTTCTGTATTCATTTTAGTAATACCTTGTGAGATCATAGGTAGGATTTAAAAACAAATCAAAACAAGACAAAAAAACAAGTGGAGAATAGTGTTACATGTCTATAATCCTATCCACAGGTTGGCTTAAAAAAGAAACAAACTAAATGCAGTGGTGGCACACTCCTGTAATCCCATCGGTTGAGCAGTGGAAGCCACAGGATCAGGATTCACTATGATCCTCAGCTATACAGAGAGTTTAGGCCAACCAGGACAGGCTACAGAAGACCCTTTCATTAAAAAAACAGAAGAGCAGTCTTTAGGCTGCAGAGGTGGCTCAAGGTTAAGAGCACTTGCTGCTTCTCCAGAGGACCAGAGGTTGATTCTCAGCACTGTGTCATGCAGCTCACGACAACCTAGAACTCCAACTCCAGAGCATCTGATACCCATTTCTGGCTTTTGTAGGTGTGTGCTTGCCTTAATTCTAGCACTCTAGAGGCAGAGGCAGAGGCAGGTGAATCTCTGAGTTCGAAGCCAGCCTGATCTACAGAGTGAGTTCCAGGACAGTCAGGGCTACACAGAGAAACACTGTCTTGGAAAAAACAAAACAAAATAGTAAAAGACGAAAATAAAAAAACAAAAAAACTTTTGATTTTAGTTTCCATATCTTATTGTCTTTAGAGAAAGTAATCTATATGATAGTTATCTTCTGAAGTTATTGCATCATCCAGTATTGGGGCTTATATTTGTATTTTTGGTTGTGAGCCTAGCTTTTAATGCTTGAGCCATCATCTTAGCCCAGTGGCTTATATTTGTAAATATTACATTGGATGTTGAAAATTTTTGTATTCCATTTTTAGGTGTTTATGTTTCCTTAACAGCCTGAACTTAGTCACTGCAACTCTAAGAAATAACAGAGAAATCCCTTGTGCTCTTTACCCACTTCCTTCCGGATAGAAACTTTGTTTTGAGACAGACTCTCAAGGAGCCGCTGCTGACCTTCAGCTCCCTATGTAGCTGTGCTTGAACTTGAACTACTCTTCATTCTGCCCCCTTCCAGGTGGTGGGATTGCAAGCCAGCACTAACAGAAATGTTTTAGTTATAACTAGGAAGTGGCACTAATACAATCTACTGATTTTATTCACACCTCCCAGATTGTTTGTTATTAGACTGTTTCTTGCTGGCCTGGAACTTGCATGTAGTTCATGTTGTCCTGGAACTCACAGAAATCTGAATACTTCAGCCTTCCAAATGCTGGGGTTACAAGTGTGTGCTACCATACTCAACTTGACTTCCCAGTTCACTGTGTGTGTGTGTGTGTGTGTGTGCATGCGCGCGTGCGTGAGCGTGTGTGTGCATGTGTGTGGTCATGTACTTGAACTTGCTTTGTAGTGAAGGATGATCTTGAACTCCTGATCCTGCTACTTTCACCTCCCTAGGGCAGGGATTGCAGGTGTACACTCCCACGCCCAGTTGTCATGTCACTTTTATAACCATATTTGCTTCCCTTTTGCTTCTTTCCTAATTCCCAACCACTGGAACCAAGAATCTGCCTTTTCCTGTTGCTGTGATAAAATATCTTGATAGAAGCAGTTTAAGGTGAAATAGTTTATTTTGGTCCAGACCTTAAGGATATGGATCATCATGGTAGAGCAGTTAAGACTGTAAGCACTTGAAGCAGTCTTGTTGCATTTACAGTTCATTAGCAAGAGGAGAGCAATGAATGAATGCTTGTGCTGAGCTGTCGTCCTCATTTTTATTCATTCTGGAACCCAAGCCTAGGGAACTGTGCACTCTCTTTAGGTGTGTCTTCCCATTTCAGTTAACCTAATCCAGAGACTCCCTCACAGGTATGTCCAGAGGCTTGTCTCCTCAGTAATACTAGATCCTGTTAGTTCATATTAGCCATCACGCTGTCTTCCCATTTCTAATACTGTTTGAAGTGGTTGTGTGTGTGTGTGTGTGTGTGTGTGTGTATGAGTGTATTGCCTGCGTGTATGTCTGTAATACATGCATGTCTGGTGCCTTCAGGTGTCAGAAGAGGGCAAGGGCATCAGCTCTCCCAGAACTGGAGTCACACATGGTTGTGAACCACCATGTGGGTGCTAGGATTCAAACCCAGCTCCTCTTCAAGAACTACTCTTAACCACTGAGCCATCTTTTCAGCTTTTGTTTCTAGAATTTTATTTATTTATTTATTTGTTTGTTTGTTTGTTTGTTTGTTGGGACAGGGTCTCTCTAAGTAGCTCCAGTTGTCCTGGAACTTACTTGCTGTATAGACCAGGCTGACCTTGAACTCACAGAGATCCACCTGCCTCTGCTTTCCAAACGCTCTGATTCTGTACCACCAAGCCATTTCTAAACTTTTTATCACTTAAAAATGTTATACTGGAGCTAGGCAAGTTGGCGTTATCTTAAGCTTTCAAGAGACTGTGGTTAGAGAATTGTTTGAACCCAAGAGTTCAAGACCAACCTGGGCACCATAGTGAGACAATATCTCAAACAAATAAAACAGCAAAACAGTACAAAATCCACCAAGTCATCAATGGAATCATAGTATGAAAACTTTTGGGATTTGTTTACTTTGTCCAGTAATAAATTTCTAGACATGTATTTAGATTTTGCACTCATCAGTAATTCATTTTGGAGGTTGGGGATATAACTCAGTTGTTAGAGTGCTTGCCTAATGATGGGGGAGAGTCTTCTGTTTTGTGTTAATTTCATTGGTTAAATAAAGAGACTGCCCTGGTCCTTTAATAGGACAGAAAATTAGGTAGGCGGAGTAGACTGAACAGAATTCTGGGAGAAAGAAAGCCGAGTCAGGCAGTCACCATGATTCTCCCATCCGACACAGACGCAGGTTAAGATCTTCCCTGGTAAGCCACCTCGTGGTGCTACACACATTAGAAATGGGTTAAAGCAAGATGTGAGAATTAGCCAGTAAGAGGCTGGAACTAATGGGCCAGGCAGTGTTCAAAAGAATACAGTTTCCGTGTAATTATTTCGGGTAAAGCTAGCCGTACAGAGCTGGGCGGGAACACAGCCCGCCACAGCTCCTACAACAGCCTAATATGAATGAGAGCCCTGGGTTTGAGTCCAGTTCTGCACCAGGGAGGCAGAGGTAGAAAGATTGGGAGTTCAAGGTGACCCTCAGCTACTTGTCAAGTTTGAGGTTATTCTGTCAAACATGAGACTCAAAAAAGAAACTTCTTTCCTAATCATAAAATATTTATTCCACTTACATGAACTTAGTACATATGTTCTTAACTGTTGTGCTTGGAATTGTACATGAATTTTTCATGTGGCATTAAACAAGAGTAACCTTTATTTATAGTTATTTTCTTGTTTACTGTTTCTATATCATCTGCATGTTGGCAAGAAAATAAGAAAAGTGATAAATTTTCCTAACTTCCTTGCTTGGTGGCCATGTTAACCTCCCAGTGTCATTCTGATTTTAGTATATGGCTATCAGAGCGAGCACAATAGCACTTTATATTGCCCTATTTTCCTTACTATGTTGGTACCACATGCTATGTTACAATTTGCATTTTGAAGGCTGTCCAAGCTGAGTCCAGCCTCCCCACCCTCCTTTTTGGTTAGCATACAAGAAATGTAATTCTAACTTTTTGTTTGTTTGATACAGGTTCTCACTATGCAGCTCTGGCTGTCCTAGAACTCACTAGACCAGGCTAACCTCAAACTCAGAGATCTGCCTGCCCTGCCTTCTGAGTGCTGGGATTAAAGGCATACCCTGCTGTTATTCTAACTTTTGACTGTTAGAAATAAAGCTGTTGTCAACATTCATGTGAAGGTTTTTGTGTGAATTTAAGTTTTTGTTTTCCTAGGATCAATGTCCAGGGCCAAGGCAGTTTTATTTGTATGGATTTCTGTTCACTGCTGCATTCATAGAGGTTGCAGAATCTCTTAAGGTTTGTATGTTTATCATGTTTGAACCTTTTCTTTCTTACCTGTGTATAACATTGCCTCCTATTGGTTTTTGCCTTAAAGTTAGTATATCAGATACTAAAATTGTATCTCAGCTTTTGGTTCATATTTGCCTTCTCTTTCTGTGTGTTTTAATCTTTATTTATTTGTTATGTACAGTGTGTCTACAGGCCAGAAGAGGGCACCAGATCTCATTATAGATAGTTGTGAGCCGCCATGTGGTTGCTGGGAATTGATCTTGGGACCTTTGGAAGAGCAGTCAGTGGTCCTAACCTCTAAACCATCAAGCCCCCTCTGTGTGTTTTTCAGTTATTATATTTCTGGCTCTTTCAGTTTTCTAAAGGTATATCTTTGTTTGTTTGAGACAGGTTTTCTCTCTATATCCCTGGCTGTCCTGGAACTCTCTGCGTCTTGAACTCTCAGAGATCTGCCTGCCTCTGCCTTCCAGAAGTGCAGGGACCAAAGGTGTGTGTCACTATGTCCAGCTAAAGTATATTGTTTATAGTAAACATTGTTGGAATTTTATATCCAGTCTGAGAGACTTTTTCATTGATAATTTTATCCCACATGTAGTTGTTGATATTATTAATGCTAGTTTCTTTAATTTTATTTCATATTTCCTACTTACTAATATTTTAATTTTGTTTTTATTTCTTCTTTCCTATTTTCCACAGTCTATATTATGGTAGATGTTTCAATTTGAGGTTTGTTTTGTTTGCTTTATTAACATTTTCTTAGTTTTATATTCCTTTTGTCGTGGATATTAAGACCTTTATTCCACTTACATGATTTTTAAGTTTAAAAATATCCCTTTCATTTTCACAATAACACAGCCCCTTTTCCTTTCCATATCAGCAGGTAGAGAAGTGTCTACTGAACATAAATCTGGCCATATAAATGGCTGTCCAAAGGAATGACTCTTTAATTGACAGAACAGTGCCAGCTGGGTTTTATAGCACATGCCTATAATTCTTGGCTTTTGTGGAGGTAAAGCTGAAGAATTTTGAGTTTGAGGCAAACTCTAGGTATGTTGTGTAAGCCAATCTGAAAAAAAAATCTCGAATAACAAAACTAAACAAAATATAGATTGCCTGAGATGAGCCAGGTATTTTTCTGTTTTGCTGTTTTTTAAGTCATACAGATTTTTGTTGTTTCTTTTTTTTTCTTTTTTTTTCCTTCCTTCCTTCCTTCCTTCCTTCCTTTCTTTCTTTCTTTCTTTCTTTCTTTCTTTCTTTCTTTCTGAGATAGGCTCTCTGTATTTAGCCTTGGCTGGGCTGGAAGTGGCCATGAGGATCAGGCTAGATTTGGACTAACAGAAACCTGCCTGCCTCTGCTTCTTGAGTTTAAATGGGTTAAAGGTGTACAATACCATCCCCAACAGTCACACAGATTTTTTTAAAAAAGATTTATTTTTATTCTTTGTAATTATATGTAGGTGTATATGTCTGCATGTGGGGATGTGCACATACATTCAGTGCCTGTGGAGACCAGAGGTGTTAGATCCTTGGAGCTGGAGTTAGAGAAAGTTGTGAGAATTCAGGTCCTCTGGGAGAGCAGAAACTGCTCTTAACTTCTGATAGTCATACAGATACCAAATTGCAGATTATTTTATAGTATGCACTTCTGCTCTTTGAATTCAAGTCTTATATATAATTTCCAAGGTATTTTATTAATAATTATTTATTCTTTTCCTCTTTTTTTTTTTTTTTTTTTTTTTTTACTTTTGAGGCAGAGTTTCTCTGTGTAGCACTGGCTGTCCTGGAACTCACTCTGTAGACCAGGCTGGCCTTTAGTTCACTCAGAGATCTGTCTGCCTCTGCCTCCCAAGTGCTGGGATCAAAAGTGTGTGCCACACCACCCAGCTATTCTTAATAATTCTTCTATCTATCTATCTATCTATCTATCTATCTATCTATCTATCTAGTATACAATATTCTGTCTGTGTGTATGCCTTCAGGCCAGAAGAGGGCACCAGACCCCATTACAGATGATTGTGAGCCACCATGTGGTTGCTGGGAATTGAACTCAGGACCTTTGGAAGAGCAGGCAATGCTCTTAACCTCTGAGCCATCTCTCCAGCCCCTCTTAATAATTCTTTACTGGTTTTAGTTGCATACCACACAAGTATTATTTATAGTAAATAAGCAGACCCATTTTATTTTGCTTTTTGTGATAGTTAGTTTTATGTTAACTTGGCACAAGCTAGAGCCATTTGGGAAGAGGGAACCTCAATTGAGAAAATGCCTTCAATAGATTAGCCTGTGGGCAAACTTGTGGGGCATTTTCTTGATTGATGATTCATATGGGAGATCCCAGTTCACTGTGGACTGGTAGTCCTGGTGCTGTAAGAAAACAGCCTGAGCAAGTCATGAGGAGCAAGCTACTAAAAAGAACATTCCAATAAATTCCTCTGTTTCAGTTTTTGCCTTGAGTTCTTGCCCTGACTCCCTTCAATGATGGACTGTGATGTAAAAGTGAAATTGAAATAAACCATTTCCTCTCCAAGTTGCTTTATGACAAAACATGGTGTCAGCAACAGAAACGCTAAGATGAATTAGTACTAGGCCATGGGATATTGCATTGACTGTCCCGACCATGTGTGTTTTGAGAGGAGTCTGGTAGCATTTGGATTTTGAGCTGGAGAAGCCATTGAGTGCTCAGAGCACTGTGGGCTGTTCTGTAGGAGTGTAGAAGATAATGGTGGAAGCCCAGCATGTGATAGAGGCCTGGCTTGTGAGGTTTCAGAAGGAAACCGAGACTCAGGGCCAGTTATGTGATATTTTGAATTAAGAATCTGTGGTCCTGGTCAGCTGAGGTGGAAAAATTGGCTGTAATTAACAAGAGACCAGAACCACTGAAGTGAAACCTTTCTTTTGATGGAATAATTGGTGCTGGTTAGCTGGAGCTATGAAATTAATGGTGATTAAGAAGAGACCAGCAGCATTAAGAATTGTCTATCTGGGAGTTTCTCCCTGAATGTCAGCACACAGAAGCTCTGGTATAGAGGGAGCTGAGGATGTATCTGGGGCATATAAGAAAACCAAACTGAGGGCTGGAGAGATGGCTCAGAGGTTAAGAGCACTGACTGTTCATTCAATCCCCTGAGTTCAATCCCCAGCAACCTCATGGTGGCTCACAACCATTTGTAATGAGATCTGGTGCCCTCTTCTGGCCTGTAGGGATACATGTAGGCAGAACACTGAATACAAAATAAATAAATAAATCTTTAAAAAAAAGGGGGGGGGAACTCACTCTGTAGACCAGGATGACTTTGCACTCACAGAGATCCACCTGTCTCTGCCTCCTAAGTGCTAGGATTAAAGGTATATGTCACCACCACCTGGCCTTCATTTCTTGCTTTTTTTCCTATTTATACCATTCATTTTATATTTTATTTTTTATTTTTACTTTTTAAAATTTATTTATTATGTATACAGTGTTCTTCCTCCATGTGTGTCTGCAGGCCAAATGAAGGCATCAGATCTCATTATGGATGGTTGTGAGCCACCATGTGGTGGCTGGGAATTGAACTCAGGACCTCTGGGAGAACAACCAATGCTCTTAACCACTGAGCCATCTCTCTAGCCCCTATTTTATATTTTAAAAAGAGAAAACAAACGGTCTCTTTATTTTACATACCAATCCCAGTTCCTGCTCCCTCCCCTCCTCCCCTTCCTTCCACCTTCCTCCCTACCATCCATCCACTCCTCAGAGAGGGTAAGGCACATTGCTGTGGGAAAGATCCAAGGCCCTCCCTACTATATGTAGGCTGAGCAAGGTATCCATCCAGAGAAAATGGGTTCCCCAAAAGCCAGTACAAGCAGTAGGGATAAATCCTGTTGCCACTGCCAGAGGCCCCACAGTCTGCCCCAGGCATACAAATATCACCCACATTCAGAGGGTTTAATTTGGTCCTATGCTGGCTCCTTCCCTGTCTAGCTGGAGTTGGTGAGCTTCCATTAGCTCAGGTAAACTGTTTCAGTGGGTATACCCATCATGGTCTTGACCTCTTTGCTCATATTCTCACTCCTCTCATTCTTTTTTTTTTAATATTATTTGTTTATTTATTTATTTATTTATTTATTTATTTATTTATTTATTTATTTATGTCTAGAATTCTTTTCCAAGCTCTCTTAGGTTTAATGTGGATTTAGCTGGCACACATTGGCATGCCAATCTGTATGCAGAG